TGAAAATAAGGTCTTTACAGATCTAGCTAGTTAAGAAGGGGTCCTGCTGGATGAGGGTGGGCCCTCAGTCCAATGACTAGCGTCTTTATAAGAGAAAGGAGAGGGAGATTCAGACACAGACACACGGACACACGGACACACGCACGGGGAAAAGGCCCTGTGACAATGCTGTAGACACCGGAGTGATGCAGCTACAAGCCAAGGAATGCTGGGAGCCACCACGAGGTCCCAGAGTCAAGGAAGGAGACTCCATAGAGCCTTCGGGGACAGGGTGGCCCCAGTGACGCTCTGATTCAGCCTTCGAGCCTCCAGGACTGTGAGAGCATAAGTTTCTATCGTTTTAAGCCACCCGGTTCACGGTGCATTGTCATGACAGCCCTAGAAAACATACAGTCAGGAGAGCGTGTCTACACCTGCGAATGTGTATTCATATTACTCTCTGCCAAAGCTACTTGAGTTTATCGTTCCAGGTGATGGTGGCAGTGGACAGCGCTGCCCCACGATTTCATTAGCAGACTGTCCGCCTGCTAGCAGCCTTCTAAAACCAGACTTCGAATCATATGACTTTCTTTCTAGTTTCTCTCTCTGAGTCACTTTTCAACTTCCTTCTCCTCTTTTCCATACTGCTTATTTAGCATCCCCAGCCTGGCCAGGTGTGAGACCAACAGATAAGGAGACAGAAATACAGCGAGAGACCCTAAAAGGTAGAAAGAAACAAAGAGAATCAAGTTCTCTTGCCATCCGCCATTCCTTCAGGTCGGTCGGCATCCGCAGGAAGACAACTTGTCAAAACAATTGCTAAACGCCACTAAGGGGTTTGACTGGTGTCCCCCTCAGAGTCATATGTTTAATTCCTATTGTCCAGTGCCTCAGAATTTCACTACGTTTGGAGATGGGATCTTTAAAAAGGTAATTTAATTAAAATAAGGTCAATAGGGTGGACCCTGATCCAATATGGCTGCTAAGAAGAGATCAGGACACAGGCAGGCAGAGAGAAGACAGTGTGAGGACACAGGGGGAAGGTGGCCACCCATAAGCCACGGAGAAAGGCCCCTGGAGGAACGGCCCTGCCAGCACCTTGACCTCGGACTTCCGGCCTCCAGCACTGTGAGGAAATCAGTGGCTGCTGTTGAAGCCCCATCTGCGGAACTATGTCACGGCGGCCCCAGGAGCCCATCCAAGTGCCAACTGCCTCCAGGTCTAGGCCTTGTGAAAACGCAGGCCCGGCAATCGGGGCTAAAAACAATAACAATGGTAATAAAAGGGCACGCAAACAGGAAGAATGCTACTTGAGTGCTAAATATTAGTCAGGCAGAGATATAACTCATCAGAAGCAAAAGAATCTATAAAACGTATCCGCCTAATAATGTTCCCATGAGCGACGACACAGTGACAGCCACTCGCCACCCACACAGAGCCCCGTTCGAGCGGGAGTTTCTCTACCACTTATTTTATTTGGCATCCGTGGCGCTAAAGCGCTCCTGGTAATTATTATTATTGAACACTTTGTTCCTCGTCTTTCAGCAAAATGTGTCTGTATTAAAACGTGACGCATCTTAATAGCCTGGGCGCTACTGCCGCGTGCTGGCAGGTTTGGCGCATTCTCAAACTTTCAGGGACGAAAGCCAGGTTATGAACCCCAGTTCAGGGAGGAGGCGGCACTGCCAGGGACCTGCCTGGTTTTCAGTCCCCGGACAAACACCTCTCCACGGGGCCATCGTTTTCATTTTGCAAAACCATGGTTTCTAATCTGTCAGGTGGTCCAGGAAGAATGATTATTGGCAGGTGAATTCTCCCATGACGAAAGAACACAACGTCAAGGCAAAATCGGTCTGTAAGCAGAGTTTCTCACAGCTTATGTGTCCTTGACTTAAGTACTTATTTACTTTTTCCCTAAAAATGTTAAGCCTTGGAATGATTTACAAAAAAAAAAAAAAAATAGCCACTTTACAACTAAATAAATTCCTAAATTAAACCCACCTCTTTATCTACCGGAAAATGATGCCGACCCCTGTTCCTTACAAGTTTATGCAAAATTACAGACCATTCTCCATCTGCCATGCTAACGGATCAATGAACAAAACCTCTCATTCTTGGAGTTTCTCAAAATAAACAACACACTGAAATAGAGCTGCTAATTAGTAAAAAGATGGACCGATTCACTTTTTACTATCCTTCTTTAGCCAAAAAGAGTGCTAGTTAGGAAGAAAATGTGCTCCTAGGCAGCTGAATGAGGGAGGCAGAGGCTGAATGAGGGAGGAAGGTCTTGGACCCATCTGAAGTGTGACGGAACTTTGCCTTCCAAAAACACTTTTTTTTTTTTTTTTGGCATAAAATTCCGAGAGGTTCATAAACTCCATGGTGCCCATTCATGAACCCCAGATGTGCAGAACCGCTGGGCTCACTTCTAGAATTTACTCAACAATATAAGTGCTCCCAGAGACGTACATCTAAAAATGGCCTCTGAGACATTCTTTATAGCAGCAAAAATCTGAAACAACCTAAAGGGGACCAACTAGGTAAGATCGAGGCCAGTAACAAGACTGGGATGAACTGATGAGTGACCAAGAAAACAAAGACCAAAAAGTGTTGTTCGGTGAAAAGCATAAGGCGCAGAACAATGGGCCAAGGATGACTGTATAAACGTAATATTTCTGAAAGGATCTAGAAGGAACTAGACACAGTGTCTGTGCCTGAGATGGGAGCTTGGACCGTAAGGAAGTTAAAGTTGGAAGAAAAATTACTTCTTTATTTTTAGTCCATGTTATTACTTTTTTAAATTAAAAGAAAGCTAGTTGGAGATAAATAGTTCAGTTGGGAGAGGGTGGCGGGGAGGGAGACTGACAGTTTTAAAAGAACTGGTTTAGCTAAGTCCCCAAATATCCCTAGCCTTGAGAATAGCTGATAACGTAAAACGTTTGGCACCAAGGCATAAATAGGAAAGTATCTCATAAACGCTTTCCCAGCTCAGGCTGCTGCCACTGCTCAGAGCAGCTGAATCTTCTCTCCCACAGGGTGGCTTTTCTGCCTTTTCTTCTCGCTAAACCAATTATGGGACATTATAACAGCAGCGCCAATATTATTTTTTAAAGGCTTATGTTGTTCGCTAAATACTCATTAAACCAATCTCCTTGCTCCATTTACAGAGAGCTTAAGGGCAAATCCAGATGGTACAAACAATGCATATTCAGGCTTGATCTGCAAGGGCCAGTCATCAAATAGCCATTATCAGTTTTAGAGTCTTCAACTGCCTGACACCCACAGGTGTGTCCAGGTGAGAAGAATACCGACTTCGCAGAGATGGCTGGGCTCGCTTCATCTCGGCAAGCCCTTCGGGAGCTCCCCAAAGGGCCACGTTTGCCTTTGTATATAAACAACAACGGCAAGCTCGTGTCGCCTGGTCACCTGGCGACGGGCTGTGACTTGGTCTTCCTGAGCAGAGGACAGGGCTGCATCTCCCTCCCACAGAGCCTCACTCTGGGTGGCCGAGGAGACCCGGCGGTCCGGAGAGACTGTCCTGCACAGCCACCTCCCACGGCCCCATATTCCATGGCCCCATCGGAAAAGATCCACTGACGGGATCGCCACTGTTGACCTATTTTGACTGACAGGCACTGACCTTTCCCCTTAAGATTAAAAAAAAAAAAAGGCGGGGGGGGGGGGACAGAATAAAATCTGGCCAACCTTTTTCATCCTTGAGACTCAGGGCTGTAGCCTTCAAGGGGTCACAGGGTCGCTAGCCCAGGATAGCCAGTGAGAACCAACAAGTCCTCTGTCCCCGTGTTCCCAGGACTGGCCGTGAAAAATTACAAGGTTTACGGGAGGACAGTGGCCCATCTGAGTCACCAGGCAGTTCCTGACTCTCCAATAAAAGAGGAATGGCAGACAACACCTAAGTGGCTCTGATCTGAGTATAAATCAAATGCGTGATCAGTGGCAGGGGGCAGATTTTTTTTGTATTAACCCTCTATCACTTCAGTTCATGTTAAATTTTTATGTCCTGATTATACTCCACATAGGAATTTGTGGGAGGCAGTGAGGATTAGCCCAAGTGGAGAAGATACTCGAGTTCCTCATGAATAATTCATGCCGGACATAATGTGAACACGTATAACTGAGAATCAGCTGTGGCATCACTGTCACTTTTGTACACTGGCTGTCCCCGAGGTCTAGAGATCACCTTAGCCTACACCGGGTGAACACATATTAAAATGCCAGCATGGAAACGTGAAGAGACTTTTCTCCCTCAAATCATTAATGTGAAGATGGTGACCAGTCGCAAATCTGTTTTCTCTCCAAGTCACTCGAGACGAACACGGGGCAAAGGAGGACACCCCCATTCTCAGTCGGAGGTCTACAGAAGAAGTGGGGCGCCTGGGGCTTTCAGGCTAAAGGCGGGCCTTAAATTCAAAGGAGAAGAATCCATCATCACCTCTTAGGCGAATCGGCCCTTAAATTAGCCGACGCCCTCAGTGACTGGGCAACGCGGGGGTGTCCTATACCGAGAACGGAAAACGTCATCCTTCCGGTACATCTCCGGCCAGGCCTCTAATTCCTCTCAAGGGAAACGTTCCCTCTGACTTCAAAGGCATGACTTTGCTGTCTGTTTTCAGGTTTTCTGGCTCCAAACTGAATCAGTGAGAGAAACATGCACAGTTCCCCAGATGAATCAAAAGGATGAAAATGAGAAGGAGCGTTCAGGGTCCTTCAGAGACAGGGAGACAGAGGAACCAAGGCCCATTCACTCTAACCCAAACCAGCCCAAGCCCATCTGAGGGGTCCTTGCCCGTGGTCCCAGTTAGGAAGACAACCAAAAGGCACCGCTACCTCCTGGGCACTGAGCGGGTGGTCTGGAGAACAAATGAGAAAGGCGGGCCTGCACCAGACACCAGCTCGGCCCTGCACACCACAGGGAAAGGCGTTCGGAGGGAGAGGACAGAGCTCCCGACACTCCCCAGGGTCTGCAGCAGGGCGCTTGCCTGCGAGAAGCCCAGCTCTACCTATCCGGATGGAAAGTTCAGTCTCAGGGAGGAGCAGCCTGGGGCCCTCGGCATCAGACTTCTTTATCAACGCGGGGTCCAAGTTCAGGGCCAGGGCCGTCTGGGGGTCTTCTGCTGCACCCTGAAACAAGAAGCAGTCACTGTAACACCTCTACCGCCTTCGTTCCCCAGACCCCTCCGGCTCGGCCAGTCTCTACCGAGGGCTCCAGGGCCGCTGGGCCAGTCCCTGGGCCAGACCCAGCCGTTGGCAGGCTCAGTCATTAGAAAGATGACAAGCTTTCTGACTGCAGAACTTTTAGGGTGACAAAAACGGGACCTGAGGAGTAGGTGCTGATCCTAAAAATGGAAAAAAATAAAAATAAAACACATCAAAACCCCACTCCACAGAGCAAATGGCACCAGGGGCTCTGTCCCTGCACTGTGAAAAGAAGCCCACGTGGCAGGTTCGCTTCTGGCGGCCTCAGTACCGGAACCGAGGCTGATATCTTTTCGGAATTTATCTTCGCTTTTCTCATGAGGTGGAAAGGCGGGGAGATCCAAACAACGAGACCTCGAAGCGGGGAACGTGGGCTCCGTGGAGGACACACATGTGCGGAGTGAGGTCCAGATGGCCTTGAAACAGCCACGTCCCCCTTCTGCTTTGTCTGTCACTACTTAATTCGACTGTTTTTGCATTAACCAGGCAAAATCCCCATGTTTATTTAACAGATATTTATTGACTGCCAACTGTGTGGGTACTTGGTGAACAAGACAACATCCCAGCTCTTACGTTCCAGCTCGGAGCAAACAGAGGAACCCACAGTGGGGCCGTGAGCTTCTCCTCGCAAGGCCTCGGCGGTCGGAACCCCCGACCCCCCGACGGCTTACAAATGCGCGGGACCTCGAGGGGAACGAGGACCACGAGGGGTGACCCCACCGGCACAAACACCTCCACCTGCATCTAAACACCTCGATGCTAAGGGAAGGTGAGCAGAATCAACTCGATGGACAAAGCAGACATTTTTTGAAAACCAGGCGAAAATAGTTCCCAACACACAGAAGTTTTCGCTTAAAAAAATGTATCTGTAATATGGGAAGAGGTTTATGATCCAGTCACTGAAACGTAGCCATTTACAAGCGAATATGAAAACCGTTTTCCCGGGTAAATTTCTCTCATGAAGGAGTTTCACCAAAGTCACTCCTGGCTGTGCCTCACACACACACACACACACACACACACACAGATCAGAAAGAGAATCTAATGACTCAGACATTTTATTTCATTATTTCTTCCCAACTAAAAGTTAAAAACGAAAACATAAACCCCGCCTCTCACGTTGTCTCGTTTGTCTAATACATCGATACTGTCCTCATCGTTTATGTGCAATGTTCTCTGCAATGCATATGAGGGTGCCAACATCTCACTTAACCTTTTTTAAAAGGGGGAAAGAAGCTTCATGGCTCTCGGGTCCCTGTACGGACTGCAGGATTTCACCTGCTGTCACTGGGAGAAGCACAAAGAAAGGCAGCCTGTCACACTGTATCACAGTCAAGGTTGACACTACAGATGGATGGAATCCTGGGGACAGCAGGACTTCAAGAAGGCCAGTCTCTCCCCCTGTAGAAAGCCCCTCTACCCACCCCCCCAAGTGACAGCTGGTGTCTATGCCATGTGCCATGGCCACAGAGTCAAAGCTCTTTGTGTATATGCTTTAATTATTTCTAATCCTACATCTCATGCTGACATCTGAGGAATCATGGCAGCAATAAACGATGTGTTTCAGTATGAGAGTGTCAGCTGACCTTCCCTCCTTCGTCTCCCTTCTTTTGATGATGTGATTGATGCGTAATCGGAGGAAGGAGTGGAAAGAGAACCTCTTCGCACCAGCAGAAATGCAGCAGCCCTAACATGCCTGAAGCTGTCTATTTGACTGGAGCCCGTTTAGTAAGGAGCAGCCTGGAGAGAGCCTACTTTGAACTGAGAACGGGGGTTTTCAGCAGGGGGGCTTTTGCATCCCCACCACAGGGGGCATTTGGAAACGGGCATTTTTTTAATGTGGCTGTAGGGGTGGGGCGTGATGCTGGCATCTGGTGGGCAGAAGCCAGGGATGCTGCTAAACATCTTACAATGCACAGGACAGGCCCCCTTGACAAATGACCCGGCCAAATGTCTACAGTGCTGAAGCTGAGAAATCCTGCGTTAGGAAGATTTAGGACAATCGGGACCCCAAAGCCCCCTGTATGACCGGCAATGCTGGGAACTCACAGACCCTCTTTTTGCCACAGAGATAAGAATTTTGCCACTCTCTCTAGGAAGCCCGCCCGCCTTCATGTATCTGGCAAATTCTTATTAACCACCAACCGTGTACCACAATTATTCCACGTTCTAGTGATATAAAATGGCCAAGTCCTCTGTCTGCATGAATCTTGCATTCTCCTTCCAGAAAGAGACAATAAACGAACAATAAATTATAAAACAGAGTGCCAGGTGGTGATAGTGTTGAGAAGAAAAATAAGTCATAGCCACAGCGATCACAGCCACCCTAGTATGACAGCCCTGTGTACTGGGTCCCAGCATCTCACACAAATAAGATGCTGAGACGGTGGGGTTGGAGCGAAGCCCTGAAACCCAGGGAGGAAGCCACTGTGACTCCGAAGCCTGTTTCAGGCCAACGTCCCCCTTCCCCAGCACAGCCTGTCACCATGCTATCGATCTACGTTCTGTTGTATTGCTTTGGTTCAGGGCTGGGGTTGGGGGTGTACGAAGAAAATCCCACCCCAACTCCACTGAGAAGCTGTCCTGTGCACAGCCTGACAGAGACCCAGCACTGCCCTGTACCACCCCCGGCCACGCACTGCACCGGGCATTCGGGCTCAGGAGCGCGGGCCGCCGTGTCCCACGGGGACCGCGGGGAGCCCCCTCAGTGCATGCGCAGACGGCTTCCCCGCTCACGCCTCCGCGTGTCTGAGCCCAGTGCTGGTCATCCGGGCTTGCCGTCCCAGGCACGAGGAAGACGACAGCTGGCTATGGATGTTTCTAGAATCATGAAAGGTAGAGCCTAGAGTGTAACCCACAGGATGCGGTCACCTCTGGGTGAAGTCTACCATGGCAAAGGAGAGCCCCCTCGCAAAGCATGACTGGTAAGTGCCACTGGGGCCAGAGCTCTGTAGGACCCGCACCTCCCAAAGCTCGTGTCCCAATAGCTCCCTTCGACATCCTCGCCTGTCTCTGGCTCTTCCCCCACTGGAATGTGTCACCGCTACGAACAACCATCACGGGAAGCGACGCTAACCGACCTCTGACGCTCCCAGCGCCCTTGCAGCAAGCCGGACGGTCACCTGACCCCCGCACGCTTCCTATCACGTTGATTCGGGCTGGGAGATGTCTGTGGTGGTTCTGAGCCCCCCACACATACCCCACCCCACCCACCCGCCTCCGTGCAGGCAGTTTCTGAGGTCTCTCCCAGGTCAAAAGTCCCTGATAAAGAATGAAGGGAAAGACCGGAGGATTCACTGGTGTCTCCTGCCAGCCACAGCTAAGACGAGGCCTGCGTTATACCTCAGTGGAGAAAGAAAAGAGAATCTCTAGAGAAGCGCCCCACAACCCCCCACCAGGGACTCAGGGGCACTGACGCTGCGGAAGGGGCCTGGAGCCCCTGCCTGGGCTTTGACTCCCTCGCCCCTCCCCCACCACCTGCCTACACCTCTCAGCATCCTCACTTAACCCAGACACACAAGGTGATATTAAATAATTAATGCTGTTTTCATTACTGAGAAATTGCAACAATAATGACACTTGTAACACAATCTTAAATTATTCCACAAAACGGAAAAAAATTAAATGTCGCCCCTTATCACCAGCCAGAATATGGATGACGCTTATATAATAGATGACCTCTGCTGGGGAGCCAGGCAGTGGCCTGCTGCCCAGGGCCAGGCTGGCCCAAGGGGCCAGCCTCAAAGCAAACAGGGACACAGAGTGGCACAGACACTGAGGCAGAGGGTACAGTCCTGTCTCGGGCTCTACCAGGCAGGTAGCTGCCATCTTCCTTGCCTCGGTTTGCCTACATGCTCAGGGATCATGGGTCACAGCCAGGAGGCCTAACGACAAAGAGGATGACAATTCAAAGCACGTGGTCCCTACTAGTTTCTGGAGTGCAATGCACCCTGCCCTTTCTGAGGCACTAGGATTTCGCCTCTAATTCAGCGTGAGTCCCTTCTGCCCGCAATGGCATCGCAACATCCAACTGATGGCCAGCGAGGCAGGCTTTCAAGCTTCTTTCTAATTGTTCCATACTTGATACTTTGAAAATCCTGGCTGAAGAAGCCCAAGCGCCCTCCTCCAGGAAGCCTTCCTAGATGAACCCAGCCTAGTCTGAATTAAATATCCCTCCCTCTTTGTGCTCCCCTGATATCCCACACGTGCGTCTGTCAGAACATTTGTCAAACTGCACGGTAACTGTCGGTTTCCTTGTCTCTCTCAAAACCATGATTCTTAAAGCAGAAGCTGTGTCTTCGGCTCCACGGTCAGGGCCCAGCAGTGTCCGTGTTCAATAACTCTTTAATTTTCTGCAACGAACAATATTACAGAATCTCCAAAATGAGAGGAGAAATGATGTACAGCATAAGAAAACAAAGGTCCAGGTGAGCATGAGACATTTAGGCCTTGAGAAGGCAGGAAAGACGAATTAGCACAGAGAGCGAAAGAAAGGGCTTTAAAGTATTAAAGACATTCTAGCTGATGGCAAAAAGCATGACCTTCTACCCACGTCCAGCTTCTGTCCTTCTGATGACTGTGCGAGATCCTCAGTATCGGCCCTGAGACCGCGTGAGGATGGGTCGTTGGCTGCCTACTCTGTGACTCTCCACCCAAACGCTCCATCTCCAGTTCCTTTCTGGCAGAAATACTCAGAATGGGGCAGCCCAGCTCGCTCCCCTTAAAGGTAAGACCTTCCCACCCCAAAGCCCATGAACCCTGCGAAGCCACATCTTCCAGCTTCCTGAGCGTCTCCTCCATGACCTTAGCCTGAAGGTTTATAACGGCGGAAGTTAATTATGGACTTCTAGCCATATTTAAGCTGCGTAACTATGCTATTATTCGAACTATCTTTTCAGGGACCAAACTATCTCCTATTTCTGATG